GTACTTATGAAAAGTTTACGTCAGGTGATAGGTTATGTACCCCAAAAAGGTAATTTTTTAATATTTTTCGTTTTAATTACTCATATATACCTAGCGCGATGACATTTTATGTCCATTTCAATCCTGTAAATGCGTTTTTAAATCCGTTCAGTCGTTTCGGAGTTATCCATTAGAATGCAAATGTCGGTAATTTTTATCTTCCAGCATCGCCTTAATTTAGAAAGACATTTGACAAAAGCACATCCGAAAATAATAGAAGAAATAAGAAAAGATGTAGAACGTATGTCAGTATCGCGACATTTTGTATTGGACGCATTAAATCATAAGATGAAATGCAAGACTTGCCATAAAAAATTTAATATGTTTAAAGTAGATCTCTTAATGAGCCACTTGTTCAAACACAACGTAAATGAACAATTTCAAAGTACTGTGGAGGGAAAAAATATGAACGTAACAATAAATCAATCAGTAGCTGAGGAAAATAACGCGAGTACATCTTCTCTTCTATTCAGACTAACACACATTTGCAAGCTTAAGAAAATCAAAAGGATTTACAAAAGTAAATTTACCAAAATTTTTATTTTTTCATTCCTCAGTCGGTCATCTACACATATAAACAACAAATAAGAAATTAAAAATTTAACATTTATTTATTATAAAAAGTATAAAAAATTATGATATTTAAAATATGTGTTTTAAGGTTACTGTGCAGATATAATGCCACAGCAGAAGAATGGCCAAAAAAATTGGATGTGGGAATATTGTACTGGAAAAGAACAAAGGAGATGTGAATGCAATATTTGTCATAAAGTTTTGAGCCATGCTTTTATAAAAGTACACTTATACCGTGCTCATGGAATATTTCGTGACGAAGAGATTAATCGAAGCAACTTGGTATGGCAATATTTTACAGAAAAAGAAAATTTCTCTTCAAATGCAATCTTTGTAATATAGTACTTTCTAGTGGGTATTATGAATTTAATTGTTAAAAAGACATGTAATTAAAGTGCATCGGAAATAATAAAAGAAATAAGAAGAGATG